GAAGTGAGCTCCCATTTCTAATCATTTTTTGTCGATTATTTGGGCTTGTTTCAAATTTATGATTTCCCCCCCAAAATTTTCAATGCAGGTTCGGATGCTTCACTCTTTAGATCATCCAAATGTGCTGAAATTTTATTCTTGGTGAGTTTAAATGGTATTCTTATTGGTAAATGAGTGGAACTGCTTGCTGTTTTTTGGTCTGAACTTGAAGTTTTGGGGGAAATTTTGTTTCAGGTATGAAACCTCTGCGCACTTGTGGTTGGTGTTGGAGTATTGTGTGGGTGGAGATCTTATGACTTTATTGAAGCAGGTCAGTTGTTCAGTGTAGTGAATTTTGAACTCTACAATTTTTGTGTGATTCCTGACTAGTTTACATGAAATGCCTCTAAATGTGACTTTTTTTAAGGTCTATTACAGTCCAGATGGGGAGTCAATTGTAGGTTAGATTCGAGTTCCAATTGTAACAACTAGCTCTTTAGGTGCAAGCAAGCAGTGTGGTGGGGATGCCAGAACTGTGTAGTGTTCACTCGGGACTACTCCAGCCTAAAGCCACATGGGCTCGGAGTCTGTGGGAGCGTGGTAGTATGATTAGGGTCCAGTTAGTCCCACCATGGCTAATAGGCGAGTCGATTGTGGGTTCGTTATCAATTTAGGTTCCGTTCCTCTAATCACTAGCTTTTAGGGAAACTAATTAGTGCGCAAGCGCCTTATATTGGTATTGTTGTTCATAGTGTATTATACTGCCGTTATCTGACACCATATTTGAGCTTGACTATAGACTACAGTTTAGAAAAAGCGAGTTATAGGTTGGATGTTTCTTAAGTCCAGATGATACAAACGTGAAAGAAGCAACCCTCCTATTTTCCTGTTCATTGATGTATCTCCTCTTTCCCCCTTCTAGAACACCTAGCACTTCCTCTTATTTTTCTCAGTTGGTTCCACTATGGATATAACTTGCTTTTGTACCTGAGTGGACTGTAGAGTTAGTAAGTGTACAGTTAGAAAATCTCTAAAAAATCAGTGTTCAATCATTGAGAATGGTTACAGATACACAAATGCAATTTTGACTATTGTGTATATTGTTTGGAATTTGGTGGCTGAGTGGTTACGTCATTTCCTTGATGAAAACCAAGGTATGCTGTTAGAAAGTGTGCCCTTTCTTAGAGAAGCTCTGATGTAGTCAAGTTATCTAGTAAACAACTTTTTTCCTAGCAAAAGAATGAAGATGTATCTCCACCATTTTCAATAAAAACTTCTAACTAAACAAATTGTCTTAAAATGTTGTTCTTGTTGCTTAAGGAATTCAAGAATCGATTGAACAATCATGGTGATGATGAAGCAAGGAGATGGGACAGAGTCTTAAAACATATTAACAATTACTAGTCTCTGCTAAGGTTCTTAAGATATTCTTCGAGCTAATTTTTGCAACCTTTCAACCTGAGGAACCCTTAGATCGATCACCACACAGTTCCCGAAACAGAACGAAACAATAACATGTGTGATTCAACTAACCAATATTGCCTTACTCCACAGGACACCAACATTTGCGATCCATTAATGCAAATTACAAGGATTACAGGTGAGAACTGATCAGGTCTTTGACCTCTTCCTCTGCTTATCATCTATCTCTCAAAATTTTCACTCTAAACATTGGAGTATAATCCAAGTCCTCCTTTTACCCCAAGGGTAGAAACACTTAAAAAGTATTCGCAAGAGTCTGAGACAGGCCTGACACTATCCGTCATCTATTAGTTTTCCACACTAACAGATGATCAGAGACCAATAAGGCACAAACTTAATTAGGCTCATGCATGCCCACCAATGGCAATCATACAGCTTAAAGTAAATTATTGAGGGTATGTTTGGCAACTGGTCAAAGTGGACTATAAGCCACTTTTATGGCTTATAAGCCACTGCAACATGTTTGGCAACTGGCTTATTTTGGCTTATAAGCCAAAAAAAAAGCTTCCCTAACCCGGCTTATTTTGTAGTGACTTATAAGCTATATAGTTTTACCAAGTAAATATCAAGTTTACCCCTCAACATTTAAGATAATTCCAAAGTCTATTCAAGGCATGGTTTTAAATATCGGCCGATAATCCGATATTATCGCCGAGTTATCAGATTTGGGAGCTTTTCACTAGGATAAGTAGGATTTTTAATTGGTTATCGTTTTTATGGGTTTATCGACGATAAAGGCACTTATCGGCTGATAAGGGAGGCTGAAAATATCGGCTTTATCGGTGTTAGTTTTGAGTTGAATTGTTGGGTAATGGATTGTTACTTAGTGAGTTCTTAAACCCCACCCCACCCGCTTTTGACAATAAAATGAAGTTTCTAACTTCAAGTTCAGGCCTAATCCTTCGTGAATCTCTCTCTCTCTCTGTGCGGCTGTTCTCTGAGCCTCTTCGAACTCCATTGAGCTCAAGATCTATGTTCCCCTCTAACTCCGTTGACCTCGTCGCTCGCCTCCCTGAGCTCGAAGCTTAAGTCCACTGACGTTGCTCGCCTCCTTGACCTCAAAGCTCACCTCCGCCGACGTCGCTCGCCTCCCCGACCTAAAAGCTCACCTCCGCTGATGTTTATATTTCATTAAGCATGGTTAGATTACATTTTTTGGGTATTATATTATATGTATACACCATCCAGTATATCACTCCGATAAATACTACTTATCCCTGATATATCCCCGATTTTCGCTATCCGATAAGGATTTTGACCGTTTGATAAATCCTCGATAACTGATATTTAAAACATTGATTCAAGATTTAAATTTAGAGCCATATCCTTTTTGGTCATTTTAACAACAATGATGAGTTATAATCCACCCATTTGCCAAATACTCTTGTCAAAAGTAGCTTATAATTCATTTTTTTTTACCAAACACTTTGGCTTAAAATCCACTTGGCTTATAATTCACAAACAATGCCAAGTTCCCAAACAATGCCCTAAATTGTTAACTCAAATTAGATGCGAGATACAATCTCAACATATTTGAGATAACTACATAAATGACCCATTCTTTCAAGAAGACAAAGAATGTCATCATAGATAGAACAATTTGGAAGATCCAATGTAGTATTATAACTTGGAGATTTGCACAATGAAAGGAGTTATTTGATATGTTCCTTACTAGATAAACCTGTGAGGATGCATGTAAGCATATTAGATTGCAGCCGATCAAGCAGTCATGTGCAATCAAGGTCTTGAAATCAATATTGTTGTCTTTGATGATTGATCTGGAAAGGACCCAACAGAATAAAAAAGATGGATGACTGAAAGAAAGCATCCTATAGAAGTACATAATCTATTAAGTAGCTTGTGGATGATATTTCAAATACAGAAACAGAGCAAACAAGTGTGCCTAAGAAGATGGTGTGGCAACTAGAGACAATTTGTCAGAAAAATTAGTACAGATGAATGAGAATAGTGAGATAGACGAAGATAATCCGCTAAAAGATAAGATTTGATATGAGTGCATGAGAGGGTAGGAATAGGTAAAAGGTTGAACTGAGGGAGAACTAGTTGAGATAGATGATAGTCTAATAGGTTTGGAACTCAGTTTGGCTTGATGGAGATTTTTTGGTGCAAGGTTATTTAAACATGTCATTTTTCTCTCCTTATCTTATATGAGATTTATTCCACAGCTCATATACCTTCTTACTAGCCATCAAGCTCATGCTATTTAAATGGTCACAAGATCTACCCTTTCTCAGGAAAGGAATCCCATGATGCAGAACTCCTCTTTAACATGAATATGACGCTGAACTAATAATGAATTATTCTGATGTTTAGATGTTCCTTGAACTTTTTTCTATATTAAATTGGCTGAACTGTGATTAATTAAAAGGGAGATGCATGAGTTGGGAGTACAAGCTCCAAATATAAATATCAAGCTACAAGTTTCAGTCATAATCAGGTTCAGGTAAGGATTCTTTATTTGGTCTGGGATATTAAGTTTAAACCTTGGACATTAAGATCCTTGGAATATTGCTGCAAGTTCTTCAATTAAAATAACTGACTTCATTTTCTTTAGCACGCTTCCTTCTAACTCAAGTCCTGTTTATGTAAACTGCCATCATGATAAACTGTTACCTAGTGGATCTTCAGTCAGCTTTGTGACACTCCTAGTGGTTTGCAGGACAACCAGCTTCCTGAAGATTCTATACATGATCTTGCCCGAGACCTTGTTAGAGCTCTACAGTACGTGTTATTTGGTCTTCGATGTTGTTCTTTTACAATGTAGATATTTAATTGATTTTGTTGCTCTTTTAGATTTCTGCACTCTAAAGGAGTCATATATTGTGACCTAAAGCCATCAAACATCTTACTGGACGAGAATGGATGCATGAAGGTGCTTTTTGTATTTTATATTGCATCATTTTCTTATTTTGAGTTGTTTTATATGTTTTTTAAAAATTTATCTCTTCATTTCAGCTTTGTGATTTTGGATTGGCAATAAGATTGAGTGAAATAGAGAAAAGTTCCCTCAACAAGGTTATTTCTTGGTCTTTGTACTTGTGTATAGATAATTTACCTTCCACTTTCTGTATTCTCTGATTTTAATTATGTTAAATTATCAATTTTGCACATACTAGATGCTGCAGGCAAAGAGAGGTACACCCTGCTATATGGCTCCCGAGCTATTTCAGGAAGGAGGAGTCCATTCCTATGCCTCTGATTTCTGGGCGCTTGGCTGTGTTTTGTATGAATGCTATGTGGGAAGGCCTCCATTTGTTGGAAATGAGTTTACTGAGTTGGTAAATTCCATTCTTTCAGATCCCATACCACCTCTCCCTGGTAATCCAACCAAGTCGCTTGTGAATTTGATTGACTCCCTCCTAGTGAAGGATCCAGCAGAAAGAATACAATGGTCTGAACTTTGTCAGCACAGTTTTTGGAGGACAACATTCACTCTGGTGCCTCTACCCCCTCAGCTTGCTTTCAATAATATGCTTCAGCTTTTTGCTAAACCATGTCTCTCAGAGAGAAATGGTGATAGACCTTCCCAACAAAGAACCCCTCCTAAGCGTCGTGAAAATCATGGAACTGGAGTTCTTAAGCAGAATGAGAACTTTTCTTCAGGGAATAAAGTCTTGGAAACACCTTCTAAGAATGCACAGAGCGCTAGAAAGGCTCAACCAAAATCTTCTGGGAGGGTTGAGAATAAGCATAAAGAGACCTTCAATGCTGGAAAGGCTGTGAATCTTCTTAGACTGTCAAGGGTTGCGAAAATGAATCTGCAGAGAGAAAATGAGAAGGAAAATTATAGGCGGCCCTTGCCCAAAACTTCTGAGAATGATACTGAAGTGAAAATTGAGAACCATGATATGGAACTTGATTTCAGTGAAAATCCTGAGGATGATGCACCTGATGAATCTGATTCTGAAAACCCTGCTTGTACTCCAGGAGAAAAAATGCCGGTCCAAAATGCTAATGAGGTTATTGAAGAGATAGAGCATAATGAAAACCAATCTGAGGTGTCTTCTGAAAATACTACCATCGTGTCTGATGACATTAAGAAACTCGAACAGGACCTATGTTTACAGCTCAATGAAGTGGCGGCAACCCCACCTAGTATCAATCATCACAGAAAGGGTCAGCGCATAAAAGGTACTCCTGGAACTGTTCCTGACTCCGAGTCGTCTAGGTCATCCAATAACCTTTCGGAAGTGTTTTGGCATCCAACTGATCTCTCAGTGAAGCCGGTAATGCCCAGTCGAAAGGGTGATAAAGTTTCAGATGCTGTTCCATTGCTTCCATATGCTGTGCCTATACTTGATTATGCTAAGTTACCACCTGAGCAGTTGATTACAATTAACAATCGCATAATTGACAGTTTGAGTAGGAGTTCACAAGATTCTGAGAAACATAATGCTATAAGATACCTAGAGATGTTAAGTGGAAATGCAGATGCTGCAAATGTCATAACCAATGGGCCAGTGATGTTGTTGCTTGTAAAAATGCTGAAGCTTTCTAAGGTACCTGCATTACGTGTTCAGGTTGCTTCAGTACTGGGCTTGCTGATTCGCCATTCCACTTATATTAAAGCTGATTTGGCAAATTCCAGTATTATTAATTATTTGACAGTTGGCTTAAGGGACAAACAGGAAAAAGTAAGGAGGTTCTGTATGGCTGCTTTGGGGGAATTGCTCTTCTACATCTCTACACAAGATGATAGTGAAGGCAAAGATAACAATCCTATAGAATCACCATCGAAGGACAACAGACACGCTTCTGGCTGGCAGGTTAGAATGATATCTGATAGTATTCTTATCCTTGATACTTATGTTTATACAAGCCTAATTCCATACGAGTTGCAAATCTTTCTTTAGCATAGCCTATAAAACCCTTTATTAGGCAAGCCTTATAATCTAACAAGGTGTTAATGTGTCAGATTTTCATCCCTGCGGAAGTTAACATTTATATGAGCAGCTAGAAACTTTATTTCTCTATCATTTGGCTGTGAATTCTTCTCATTGTGATTATAGCAAGAGAAATTTCTTCTATTCTACAAAATTAAGTTAAAGAAAGAATTACCTTGAAAGAATTACCTTTCACATTTTAAGGCTAGTCGACTGAGGAACCTTTCTGTTTTCGATATAAATGTAACTTTTAAACATATTGGCTCTGAATATCTTCTTCAGTGGATGATTTGCAGCTGCCTGAATCTCAAAGAGTCAGCAAGAAAAGTTACTAAATATCAGAACACATGCTAGGTCATAGAATAAAGAGTAGTATGTTCCCAAACTGCTGCATTTTACTTGGCTTGTATTTTTCTTTGAGTCATTTTCCTGATAATCCCCATGCAACCTTTCTCTTTCCTTCACATTTATGCAGGTTGCCTACTAACTCTACATTCTGGACATGCATAGTCATACATGTATCTGAACCAAATTAATTCTTATGCTAGGTTCAGATTATATTGTCTGCCATTTGCTTGATTTATTGTAAGATTACCTTTGATGTATCTCATATCGGTTGTACTCAAACAGGTCCCCAGTTCTGTACTTGCTCTTGTGGCATCTATCTTGCGCAAGGGAGAAGATGATGTAACCCAGCTGTATGCTCTAAGAACGATTGAGAATATATGCAGTCAAGGAGGGGATTGGACTTCCCGTTTTGCTTGTCAAGATGTTATTGGAAATCTCTGTTACATATATAAAGCAACAGGGAAGCAAGAGAGCACACGACTTATTGCTGGATCTTGTTTAGTCCGCCTGGCTCGTTTCAACCCATCATGCATACAGTTTGTTTTTGATAAGCTTTCTTTGAAAGACATTGCATCTTCTGCTATTAAGGGTAGTTCTCGAGAACAGCAAATAAGCTTAAATCTTCTTAACACAGCCATCCTCAGCCACACAATTGGAAACATTAGTCGGCATCTTGTCTCTCTCGTGGAGGAAAAATCCTTAATTCCAGGCATTCTTTCACTCATCGAGCAGGGAAGTGAAGTTTTGCGTGGAAAAGCACTCATCTTTGTCGCTCTTCTTTGTAAGAACAGCCGTAGATGGCTGCCACATTTCCTTTGCAATGCTAAATTGCTCTCAGCGGTTGACAGGTTGGTGAAAGAGAAAGATGCCTTCATTCAGCAGTGCGTAGAGGCCTTTATACAGTTAGTTGCTTCCACAGTTCCAGGAATTCTTGAAACTGTCTCTGGGGATATATTACAGATGATGGGAGGTAAGCGACGCGGGGCAATTGCTGCTTTGACTGGACGAAATAACTCAAAAGGCACTGCCCAGCTCTTTCCAGTTATTCTACATCTTCTTGGTAGCTCTTCTTTCAAACATAGGGTGGTGAATTCTCATGTTTTACTTCAGTTGGCAAATCTTATCAAGCTTCTAGAGGCGCCTTTCCAGGTACCTGTTGTGTACTACAATTGCAATAGTCTGTTTATTTGTGCAATATTTTTGTTTTGTTAATGCTTATATCTTTTGTTAGTTTTTTATATGGGAACAGTGTCCCTTTGTTAGTTTTTTATATGAGAACAGTGTCCATTATTAAGATGGTTTATGTTAAAGATCCTTGCCACTATAGTAACACTCCAAAGTTATGATAATGATTGAGCGTTATAATTTTATATTCTAACATGCTCCTGCAGGTTGAGCGCCCTTTTCATGGGTTGAAATCGGACACACAATTATATCTATTTTTTAATCCATTTTAAATCTGTAACTAATGGGATTTGAACCTGTGTTGCTCTTGTACCATGTTAAAGATGCTTTCCATTACACCCAAAACTGTGAAGTTATGATGAGGGTTGAGCACTTTTTTAACAGTTTACCTATGCTTATGAGTTAGAAAACTCAAGCAATTTGTTGGTGAAATTGACATGTTTATTATTTTATAATGAATGCAGGGAAGGGATGATTTCCAGATAACACTGCTTCAAGTTCTTGAAACAATCACAGAAGAGCCTTCTGTCATTCAAGGCGACCCTAAGACTTTTACGAGTCGAATTCTTCCTAGTCTTTCCATTTTGTACAAAGGCAATAAAGATGGAGATGCTAGATTTTTGTGCTTGAAAATATTATTTGATGTCATGGTCGTGTTCTTCAATGATACATCAGCCAATTCACTAACGGAGAATGTGCAAATAAAGGATGAGCTGAAGTCAATATCTGAAACCTACTTTCTCCCTCTCTACCCTACTTTTATTGAGGATGATGATCCTATTCCAATGTATGCTCAAAAGCTGCTTGTCATGCTTGTTGAATTTAACTATCTTAAAGTCTCAGACATTCTACATCTGAAAACTGTCTCTCAATGCTTTGAGTTTCTACTATGTGATCTTTCTAATGCAAATGTTAGCGATGTCAAGCTTTGCTTGGCTCTGGTATCTGCTCCTGAGATGGATTCTAAGGTTCTTTCCCATTTGCAAGTAGTCCGAAAAATTGGCAATCTGCTTGAGTTTGTGAATGCAAAGGAAATGGAAGATTTTCTTGAACCAACATTGGGTCTTTGCAAGGCTTTCATCATGCGCAGCATAGGAACCAACAAAGCCATGGCTATTTCTAAGGAGCCTTCTCTCCTGGGTAATACTGCCTTTGAGAGGAGTATGGATGTTGACCAGCAATATTATGTCAAGGACATATCTGAATTTAGCAGCAACATCAGTGCATTTTTGGAGTTGATTGGGAACCCTGAAGTGCATGTAACTGACCTGGCATCGGAATGTGTGGTCTTGTTACTGAAAGCAGCACCTAGAGAAGCGACAATGGGACTTTTAACTAACCTTTCTAAAATGAGCAGTCTTTTTGCTGCACTGCACCATCGTAGTTCTGGTTTGCAGTTGCAGCGCCTTTTATATGCTCTTTCTTTCTCTTGCCAGCAATACTTGTCTCATGCAATGATATTGTCAATATCCATACCGGATGTTAAGAGAATAGAAGTTCTTATATCTGATCTTAAGAGTTCTACCTTACCCGGTGTTTCTGAGGCTGCCTTCAGTTTAAGCTTGGAGTTGCAACGTCTGCCTCGCTGTGTATGATATGATACTGGTAATGCTATTTACTTAATTTTTGTAACTCAGTCACTTGTTTTGTGTTATACATACCCCTTAAATGATGTGTATTTTCAAAATTACCCCCAAATCATCGACCTTGGAAAAAAATGCCCCCAAATCAACACATCATGAACTCTGATAGACTAATTTGTAACTGCAATGTAAAATTATCAACAAAGTAGTGAAATTTTTACTCAATATTTTTAACAAAGCTGATGGTTTGTTGATTTGAGGGTATTTTTTTCTAAAGTTATTTGGAGGATAATTTTGCAAATACTGAGATTTGGGGTTGGTTTTGTAAATATGCATGATTTAAGGGGTATATAAATATAGAAAAGCTCTTTTTTCATTTATTTACACCATTTTGTTTGGATTCAGGGATCCAAAAGGACTTTATAGAGCTCATTACTGCAATGGATTAGTGAGCTTCTAATAGCTCCATGCCTTTCCAGGTCAGTTCATTGCCTTCGGGTGCATTACATGGATGTTACTGTTCACAGTTTTACACTTACTTTGTATAATAAGTGTATAGCAGTAGCAAAATGTTGAATACGATGCAGATGTCATTAGAATGTGAAAGAGCAACCTGAAAATGTGATGCAGTTTCCTTTTGGTACGTTTGGTAGTTTATCTGCTGATATGTGTACATTTCTGTTGTAGTATACTTGCTGTTCAGGTACGAAGAATGTTGTGGCTGATGTATCTTTCTTCTTTGAATCCCAAACAAATTTATTAAATTATGTATGATGAGGCAAAAGCTTCTCCATTATAAGAACCGTTGCACATATTGCATGTTCTGCTAAAGCCACAAATGAGGCTGTCCTAATGTGTTTCCTGTGATTAGTGCTTATTACGAATGTCACATAATCTTCTTGCCTATTTGAATATTGTCGTGATCTTTTCTTTCCTAATAGTGTTGATTGCTATCATTGAGGAGAAACATCAAAGTGGGTGACATGTAGAGTGAATTGTTTCTTCAGCAGACAGTTTCTGTTTCAAATAATCTTCTTGCCATGCTAGAGAAACAGAGAACTTTTATTCATTTTGTTAATCTGTTCTTCTATGTCACTGTAACTCGAGCAATTGTAAACTATTTTGGGAAAGGACCTATATATGTAAACAAGTTAGCTAGCTAAAAATATTGGTTTTTGAATCACCACATCATAGTTTTTCTTGCATCTGTTGAACTAAATCTGTCATATTTCCTGTCCACCTCCAACTGATCCGTATTCTACTGTTACTTCTAAAATTTCGCTAATTAAGAACCAAGTCTGTTTGAGGCATCTCATGATAAATTTAAACTTTTTGTGCTAGGGTGTCCAATAGTATCTGGTCCTAAAGCGGATCATCTGTAATTTAATTATACTAGTAAATCACATATTACTTGTGTGAAAAGTTATTTTGTCGGTATTGATATAAAGGATCTGCATTAAGAAAGAGCAATGTTTTAGATACACTTATTAGCATTCAGAATGGAGCAACTATGACTGAGCAACTAAGGCTGATCTTTCGAAGTAGTCCTTCTGTACATTTTAGAGAGGTCAGTGTTACTTCAAGATGTATTTACTTACTAACGGCTACTTTTTTGGTACTGAGTATTTTGCTTCATGCGTTACTAAGAATCCACTGGAAGGGGCTCCTCCTCCTATGAAGTTTATGTACTTACCTGTAAGAGATGAAAGAAACTTTTTCCTGGAGAGAAAGCTGTTACATTTTGGTCAGGGTCGGGGGTGGCCTCGAGGTGGTTATGTTAAAAACACCGGTAGATGCGCAGATAAGCAAAGAGGCACCAGTAGGAACCCTGCATAGGGTATTTTACAGAAAATCATTGAGGGAGTTGTGTGAAAACGACATCTGTCCTACATGTCTTGAAAGTTTTGGTGATTGTATTAACTCACGTAACGTTTTGCGTTGGTGCTCTATTTTCTTTGCATTGATATTTTGATTATTTACGCTGATTTTATACGCAGATAGCACAGATTTAAAATTGATAATGGGACGGCTATCACTTTTGTTGTCTCGTGATATGGTTTTATCTAGAGAGCTGAATAGGATCTTCCTTTTTCAGCGGTATGACAGCTTCAGTTATTTTCCTAGCGTCCTTCAGATTTGAGATTCCAGGTGCCACAATGTGAACATTTTGAGAGTTTCTGATGGCCATTGTGTTGTGAATTAACGTCGCTGTTTGGCTCAGAAGCCTGCTCAATCAGTCCGATCTTCTTCTCCAGTGCACCACCAAGAACACAAAGGGAGGGAGAAAAGCAACTATTACACAGTCTCTCTCCAGATCTCACAAAGAGGTAAAAGCACAGAGCTTTGAAGGAGCACAGAGCTCAGGTAGGGGAGAGGATCGCACAGCGGGTAGAAGCACAAAGCTCACAGTCTCTTCTTTCTTCTTCCTCTACTTCCTCTCACCAGCTACTACCAACCCATTACCCTTATATAGGGAAGGGGGCAGCCGACATGGGAGAGGCTAGGGGAAGGGGGTGAGAGCACAAAGCTCACAGGAGCACAAAACTCACAGAAGAAGGGAGATTGCACACAGCAGAGGAAAGCTCAAGCTCAGGTTTCTCCTCACTATCTCTTCTTCCTTTTTCTCCTCTACCGAGCTACTACCAACCCATTACCCATATATAGGGATGGGGGCAGCCGACAAGGGAGAGGAGCTAGGGAAGAAAACGAAGGAGGGAGCCGACCTAGGGATGAAATCACAGCGGCGGCCATCAAATCCAGAGATCGCGAAGACTTCCAGAGATCGCGAAGACTTAGGAGGAGGTGAGAACCATCGGGTAGGTGAGGGAAAATAGAGGGGCTAGGGCACAAGTGGGGGAGCTGGGCATTTAGTGGAATGGGCCAACTTATTGGGCCAACAAAACAACCAACAATCTCCACCTTTGGCCCAAGGTAGTGCACATAGGAAAAACACGGAACTGCAGGACTCATCATCGCCAAATTATTACCTGTATAATCACAAAGAAGATACAAGCAATGGAAGAGAATACACTAAGTAAACTCAGATCACAAAGATCGGGGTAAAATCACCAAGCATACCAAGTCCACAAAGGACCGAACTCTACCAAACGGTCATCGAGTTCAAAGGGAAAATCACAAAGCTATTAACAAGCACAAAGCAAGTTAATAGGCCACAAAGGCAACACACAAAGCAAAGGAAAATTACCCAAAATCAAAATTCAAGATTCTTTGACACGATATAAATTTTTCAGCAGGCAAACACTTAGTACCCATGTCAGCAGGATTAAATTCTGAGGGAATTTTCTCTAACTTGACAATACCCTTTTCAACTATATCCCGAATGTAATGAAATCTAACATCAATATGTTTAGTTCTATCATGAAAAACAGGATTTTTGCAAAGTTGAATAGCAGATTGACTATCAGAAAATACAACCACATTTTTATCAAGAAAACCAATTTCAGATATAAGGCCCCTAAGCCAAATAGCTTCTTTAAAAGCTTCAGTGGTAGCAACATACTCAGATTCAGTAGTAGATAAAGCAACAATGGGTTGTAATTGGGATTTCCAACTTATGCAAGAGCCACACAAAGTAAACACATAGGAAGTGGTAGATTTTCTATTATCCCTATCATTTGCATAATTGGAATCTACATAGCCAGCAAGTTTGACACCTTCAGAACACTTAGAAAAGGTTAATCCTACATCCACAGAGGATTTCAAATATCTTAAAAGCCACTTCAAGGCATTCCAATGAGGCATACCAGGGTTTGACATATATCTACTCAAGCAACTAACCGCATATGCAATGTCAGGCCTAGTACTAACCATGAGATACATGACAGATCCTATAGCATTCGAATATGGCACCTTCTTCATATCATTTATTTCAGTTTCAGTATTGGGAGATTGATCCTTACTTAACACAAAATGAGAAGCAAGAGGCACATTCACAGATTTAGCATTAGACATAGCAAATTTACTCAAAATTTTTTCAACATATGAACTTTGGTTTAAAACTAGAGTAGATTTGTTTTTGTCCCTAATAATATTCATGCCTAGGATTCTTTTAGCATCACCTAAGTCTTTCATGTCAAAATTTTCACAAAGACATTTTTGAACATGCTCAATAGACTTCAAACAAGGACTAACAATCAACATGTCATCCACATAAATTACAAGAAATACAGGCACAGAGTCTATATTCTTATAATACAGGCAATGATCAGCAGAACTCCTTTTAAACTTTAAAGATTGCATGCATTTATCAAATCTAATATTCCATTGCCTAGGTGATTGTTTTAAACCATACAAAGCCTTTTTTAACAAACACACATGATCAGGCAATTTAGGGTCCACAAAGCCCTCAGGTTGGTGCATATAAATATTTTTATCAAGATCACCATGCAAGAAAGCAGTAGTTACATCCATTTGTTTTAATTCCCAATTAAAATGAGCAACTAAAGCAAGCATAATTCTAACAGTAGTGAATTTGACAACAGGAGCAAAAATTTCAGCATAATCAATTCCCTCCTTTTGAGTAAATCCCTTAGCTACTAACCTAGCCTTAAACCTAACACTTTCAGATTCTTGTTTCACCTTAAACAGCCACTTACAGTCCACTACAGAACAACTAGCAGGTTTAGGAACAAGTTTCCATGTTTGGTTAATTTTTAGGGATTCCATCTCACTCTTCATAGCACTAATCCATTCTTCAGAATATTTTGACCTTAATGCTTCTTTATAAGTCTTAGGTTCATTGCACTCAAGGGATTCAAACACATTAAAGGCAAACTCAGACATATTACAATCAATCAAATTGCAATCTCTATATCTTTCAGGTTTCCTAATGGTTCTTTTATTTCTATCCCTAGTGAGTTGATAATCATTCAAATCATGCATGTTATCTATTTCCTGCATATCATGCTCCACCTCATTTGGAATAATCTCATCTTGATTTTCAATAATTATATCATTCAATTTTTCTTCAGGAAATGATTTGGGTTGATTAATAATAGGCTTTTGCTCCACCTCATTTGGAGCATCATTTTCAGGAATAGGAACATGTAAAGGTAAACAAGGAAATTCATTTTCATTAAAGACAACGTCTCTGCTTATCACTACCTTAAACCCCGGTTCACTCTTATTCCAAAGCCTATAACCTTTTACCCCTTCAGGATATCCTAAGAAAACACATTTCTTAGATCTAGGTTCTAACTTATCAATCTTTTGATGCACGTAGCCAGCACTCCCGAAAATTCTCAAATTATTTAAATCAAGAGGTTTGCCCGTGAACACAAATTCAGGGCATTTCCCTCCTAAGGGAACAGAAGGAGACCTATTAATCAAATAGGCCGCAGTACAAACAGCTTCTCCCCAGAACTTCTTGGAGAGCCCAGATGTGGCCAACATAGCCCTCACCCTCTCTAAGAGAGTTCTATTCATCCTTTCAGCAATCTCATTCTGCTGGGGTGTATAGGGAACAGATTTATGCCTTTTAATACCCCAAGTAGTACACAAATCATTCAATTGTTTGTTACAAAACTCAAGACCATTGTCTGTCCTAAGAGTTTTAATTTTCTTTCCCGTTTGGTTTTCAATCATAATTTTCCAGTTTTTAAATTTATCAAAAACTTCAGATTTTTGTTTCATGAGTAAAACCCAAACTTTCCTAGAATAATCATCAATTATGGAAAGAAAATATTGGTTCCCTCCATGCGTAGGCACACTAGAGGGACCCCACACATCAGCATGCAAATATTCAAGTACACTAGTGCACTTAGACTGATTAGGAAAAGAAGAAGTAGGAAAAGTAACCCTATGTTGTTTTCCTAGCACACAAGATTCACAGAAAGGGATGGGGGATATTTTATCACTACCAAAGTGACCTCCTTTATGTAAAATTTCTAATCTTTTATTACTCATGTGACCTAATCTATTATGTCATAAAACAGATTTATCACCTATCACAGAGTTAACAGAATCAAGCACAGGTTCAGCATGACAAATATACAAATTGTTTTGTTTTTCAGCAGTAAAAACAACAAGAGACCCTTTTTGAATTTTCATAACCCCTTTACCCCATTTTCCCTCCAAACCATCATTTTCTAGAGATGCACAAGAAATCAAGTTATAACGTAAATCAGGAACATGCCTAACATCCTTCAAAGTAAACACAGAACCAGAGAAAAACCTAAGGCATACATCACCAGTTCCTAAAACATTGCATTTCTTTTCATTTGCCATTGACACAAAGCCATTCTCTATTTTCTTGTAGTTTGAAAACAAAGTTTTAAAAGGAGTCATATGAAAAGTACAACCAGAGTCTACCAACCAATCTGATTTACACAAAGGATCAGATAACACAGAGTTCAAATATGCATAATCACACAGATTATTAATCATGAAAATCTCACCCATTTTGCCCTCACAGACAGCCATATTAGCATGTTCATTTTGCTGATTTTTCTTAGGCTTAGGACAATCTTTAATAAAGTGACCAGTTTCATGACAATTATAGCATTTTTTAGCTTTAAACCTGGACTTAGATCTACCCCTTCCATTTTCAAACCTTTTCTTACTTGATTCCCCATTACTAGCATTCTTTTGGTAATTAGACCTATTCTGAGTCCTACCCCTCACATGCATAACCTCACCAGAATTTTTATTTCCCCCAGAATGTTTTAAATCTAATTCCTTACTCTTAAGACCATTGACCACAACATCAAGGGTAACCTCATCTCTACCATATTTAATAGCAGATTTCACATCACTATATGAGTCAGGAATAGCATTTAGAAGGGCAATAGGAGTATAATCATCTATATGTTTATCACCAGTTAACTTAATATCTGAAATAAGTTTTGTGAAAACATCTAGGTTCTCCTCAATGTCTTTAGACATATCCAATCTAAATTTGAAAATTTTTTCGAGCAAAAACATTTTACTGGGCAAAGAGGTTTCAGTATAGAGTTCTTCAAGTTTATCCCAAAGAGTTTTAGCACAGTCCAAAATTCCAACTTTTCTAATCACAGAGTCAGATAAGTTCAAATAAATTGTGGAACAAGCATTTTCGTTCATTTCCGCCCGTTTATTTTCAGTGTCAGAGGTTAAATAAGTCTGACCAACAGCCCTAACGGACTTCTGTTGAATTAAGATGCATTTTATTTTTTGTTTCCAAATGCTAAAATCAGATTTTCCGTTGAACGGAGCCATACCATATTGAATCATACTATATTGATTAGCAACAGACATTTTTTCACACAGAAAAAACACAATAAAATACAAATGTTAACTTCAGCAGATAACCGCAGTGGGATAAAAAAAAAGGTTTTTCAGCAGATAAATTTCAGCAGTTAAACGCAGCGAATTAACACAGATAATCTTGAAGATTTACTGTAATTTTCAACAATTACAGCAATTTTCAACAAAGTCAAGAGCATATACTGAAATTTTCAACAAAGGCCAGAGTATACCTGAGCGAAACCCACTGTAGAGAGTTTCGACCTTACCCACGCCCACGCGGTGGTCCGGCGGAGGGAGAAAAGCAACTATTACACAGTCTCTCTCCAGATCTCACAAAGAGGTAAAAGCACAGAGCTTTGAAGGAGCACAGAGCTCAGGTAGGGGAGAGGATCGCACAGCGGGTAGAAGCACAAAGCTCACAGTCTCTTCTTTCTTCTTCCTCTACTTCCTCTCACCAGCTACTACCAACCCATTACCCTTATATAGGGAAGGGGGCAGCCGACACGGGAGAGGCTAAGGGAGAAAACGAAGAAGGGAGCCGACCTACGGATGGGAGATGGGACTCACAAGCGGCGGCCATCAGATCACGAAGACTGGGAGGTGAGAACCATCGGGTAGGATGAAGAAAATAGAGGGGCTAGGGCACATCAGCTCTTAAGTAGGGAATTGGGCCTATTGGTAATGGGCCAAAGTTTGGGCCAACAAATAGCAACAATCTCCACCTTTGGCCAGAAAATAGAGGGGCTAGGGCACATCAGCTCTTAAAGAGGGAATTGGGCCTATTGGTAATGGGCCAAAGTTTGGGCCAACAAATAGCAACACATTGCACAGTTTGTCCTCTATTTACCTGCTCTCAATCAGGCTGCAGTAAGCAATGCTTAGAAGTGTATGAAGTTTCACCTGGCAATTGTTATTATTTTCCCTCCTCGTTCACACAACCGCCAGGAGAAAAAGAGAGTAAGTGGAAGAGAAGTGAGGAGTGTCGACGTGCAATGGAGGACCGAGGCGGAGGCAGGAGATAGGAGGATAGATGGAAGAGGAATGAGCATTGGTGGAGGGGGAGAGCGGAGACGAGACAACGGAGGAGGGCGGTGGTTGAAGAGGGAGAACGGAGAAGGGAAGAGAATATTGGGATGACTAGTGACTAGAGTCACTAGACTACACTTTCTAAATTGTTTCTATGCTACTACACCTAAGGATTGTGGGTCCATGATGACTCATCAATTTTATTAGGGAAGAGCTTTACACTTTTGTGTCTAGTAGTGTAGGAGTTGTTAAGAAATTATAGTTTAATTATAATTATCCATTTGGGATAGTCTGGATAAAAATTTAAACAGAAATTGCCCTCAAGTAGTTGATTGGAAACTAAACCTACTTATAAAATGGTTTCTATATAAAGGTGGCTCTATTTGATTTGACTTATTTTAATGGTGCCCTTAAAAAACATAAGATTTACATTAATAATTATTAATTTCAATGTAACTACATTTATCAAGTAAAACTAGAATAATCTTAATTTGATTGAGGCCTTTATACACTAATTTTTTTTATCCATTATATTTGCTTTGAAATTTATGCTAGAAATACACATCAAGGCTATCTTAAAAATGTGTGATTTGATATGTGTCACATATCAATATGAATCTCAAAGCAAATCTAATAAATAAAAAAAGTTAATGGATAAGAGCTTCTATCCACCAAGTTTACAAGAGTTTTACTCATTTGTCTCAATTGTAGGGGTTGTTTGGTTGTAACAACAGACATTATGTTTTTCCAACCATATGGTTGTAGGACTACAATAAGATATCTAGTTGTTCTCGTTACATATTAATGACGCACTAAAAGGATTTTTACCACTAGACCAATGTACAAATCCAAGTCCGTGAAATACATTCTCTTGTAACTATTATCTCGATCAACAAAATGCCAAGGGGCTAGCCTGAGTTCCTCCAGTAAATTTGGACTAAAAGAAGAGACCTACAGTGACATTCTTGCTAAGCGTCTGGTACTTTTCACAGTATCAATGAAAACTTCATGAGAAGAACAAGGATTTTGCAGTTGATGGGTAAAATAATGAGGCGATTGATAAAAGGGGAAAAAAATGGACAGTAGAGATCACTGAAACACAGCAAAGTGTCTCCAAATTTTTTTGCTATAAGCAAGGAAAATGTACACAATAATACAGAAACGCTTTTAAACATAAACTTCATTAATCCAAATACATGGTGCATACGCTGAAAATTTTATATAGACAACAATCCACTTGCATGAGCGCTTCAGCACGAACTCCACATAGAAAGTATACAAAACAGCCCCTTTCGAGCCAACTAAACAAATGAAGGCCTCTGAATCTAGAATCAACTTTTGATAAAGCAGCTAAGCAACCATCCACACATAAACTTCAATTATCGACATTGTCACAACTCGCTAGAAAAAACAAGAGGGCAATGAAATGTTTTCTTGATTTAGAAATTTATATCAACTTGAGGGCTGTAAGGAAAAAAAAATCATATTAAGATATCAAGTAAAAGCATTTAGGTAAAAATAAACTAGAACTATGATACTCTACATTACAAGATTGATGCTGCATAAGACACTTAAAATTTTCACAAGAACAAACCATGGGTGTCAACGAAGTGTTTTCTTGAAGCATAAAATTATGTTAACTCAAAGGTTGTAAGAGAAAATCACACAACGATATCAACTATAAGTAATTATTAAAAGACTAGAAGTATAAGTAACTAGTTAAAAGTGTCATAAGAACAAACCATGGCTGATGACAATTACATTAACTCAAGGACAGTAAGAGAAAATCATACAAAAAGATCAAGTAAAAGAAATTTTGTAAAACATTAGAACTATGATTCTGCAAAATATGTAACATTACTCCATCCTTATGAGGTAAATGATCACACAATCAGATACAATCTATTAGTCAAAAAAAAAATTATGTCATACTTGATGTATCTTGGTCACTGTTAAGTTCCTTCAATTCTCAGAGTGCCACCAGAGTAGTTGGAAATTTTTGCTGGCTCCCAAACATTTTCCTCGAAAAAACACCTTTCAAGTTTCCGAACTCAAAAGGTTTTATCCGTTTCTTCGAATCTCTGATTAACTTCTTCATATTATCATTCTCCCCTTTCAGAATATCCATAGACAAAGAAAGCTGTCTAATAACCTCCCTTTTCTCCTCATTCTTCCTCTCTAGTTCAGCCTTGTAAGCTAAATTCTCCTCTTTAAGTCTTTCTACTTCACTCATTAGCTTCACTGCCAAATTGTTCTGGCTTTGAATTTCTTCACTTTCGGGATGAAAAACTTTCATGTATGTAGCTTTTTCTTTTGTTTTCTTTGCCTTTCTTCCAATTCTCTCGGCTTCCTCAATCAATACTCTTTCCGAAATTTCTGCGAAATTGTTCTCATCTTCATACTTCCTATCTAGTTCAGCCTTGAGAGCCAAATTTTCTTCTTCAAGCCTTTGTAATTCACTCGTTACCTTTCCTTTGATACTTTCATACTTTGCATCTGATAAGTCTTTCAACTTGTTCTGGCCTTGAATTCCTTCTTCAGGGTTGGTAACCACGAATGGAATTTTTTCTGTCGTTTTATTTACCTTTCTTCTAATTCTTTCGGATTCTTCTGAAAGTTCTATTACATTATTCTTATCTTGCCCATCTTTTAACTCATCATACAGAGATTCAGTACTTTCAACTTTTTCAATCATTTGCTTCACCACACAGATATCACTATTGTCCCGAGATAATTCTTTGAAATCACTTTCAACTTTTTCTTCACAGAGCTCAGAATCACTGCAATATGTAGAAAGAGTAGATTTTTCTTTTTCGATTCTTGGCAACTCCCTCAATTTACTCTCAACTGGTTCTTCTTCCAGTGGATCATCAATTTCGGATTCAGAATCAAAGGTTAGTACTGAAGAGGAAGAAGATGATTTATCTGTAAAGCCCCATTCTTTATGCAAGAAGCCTTGGTTCGAGAAAGAGTTGGCTGATTCGAATTTGAGCTGGTCATGTCGCTCTGCTAGAGACCGATAAGACCGGTAGAAATCCTCTATCATGTTGACAAGCTCTGGTCTTTTCTTGTAGTACATTTCTGCTCGCTGAGCAAATGTGTCAGCATCACCTTCGATCAGTTTTAGCATTCCCTTGGTCTTTGCTTCTAGTTCTGCCAGATTAGAAGAAAAGAATAAGATTATGGAAGTGGAGCCATTGGTAAAGGGAATATCTTAAGATTATTTTCTAAATCCATGGTTTGTATTGTTGTTCTGAGACGGATTATTTTGCAGATAAAAATAAATGCTTTGAAATCATATGATAACGCTGAAGAGTTTCCTGTATTTAGTGAGTATAAGCACTTAAACAAATATAAGAAGACTGAAATTATTACTTAAGAGGTAACTGCTAACTGGAATACCCACTAAGAAGACATCAGAACTAGCAGAAAACATTGAACAAAACCTCCAGTGTTCGTTTAAATCAAGGATATGCAATCAGTTTTCTCGTTAAAGAGAAGTCAAGCATAGGAAGATAGAAAAAATCCACAGCTAAACAAGGGCATCGATTAATATAAAAAGACTAAATAACATACATGTGATCAGCATGCTTAGAAAACTGATGTGCTGTAAATATGGGTTATTTAACCTAAATAGTACCCAATTTTGCTAATATTATATGACTACATCTGACACTCAATTTTCAATATATGTACATTCTCACACTTGTGTGAATACAGTTTCGCACATCAAAGATATCGATCAACCATCCTTATCGATGGCGCCCATCTATGCTGCTAAAACAATTAGCAGCAAGAAAATTTCCCCTTAATCCATCCTATTCTATTTCATTCATAAATAATTATTCACACAAATTATGCTTCGCGTACTTGCCTATGGGCATCATGTGAATAGGATGTGAATGTGCAAACTGACATTGAGTCAAGTATCCAAAGCTGATGTATAGAAGAAGTACTAAATGAACATCATGTGGATAGGATGTGAATGTGCAGAAGGAAGAACAATATACACCCTTAAGTACAAAGAAATCCAGAAATTGGTGAGGTAAGGTCTTTTCACCTTAAATGACCAAGCAGGTACAAGTCCCAGAAGGTTAAGAAAATGCTTCTATGTCTCAAACTGTTGGGGAATTTTAGTTCCCCCGCGTACTACAATCTTAGCACTCGGAAGCCAACCCACAATCAACAAGATAGAAAACAACCACAATCAAGAAGAAAGAACACCGAGATTTACGTTGTTCAGTCGACCAACTTCGACCTACATCCACGGGGTAATAATCTGAGAAATCCACTATGTATTAGGGAGAACTATAAGAGGAACCACTCAACTCTTGTCTCACATTCTCTTAACCTCACATACATAATCAACTCTCATATTCTCTCCAAAACTCACTCCTTACAATCTTTTGAGCGGATAAAGACTGCAAAACCCTCTCCTAATATTGTATTCTTTTACACAGATAAAGACTACGAAACCCTCGCCTCTCGCACAATATTCTTCAATCAGGCTACGCCCTCTGATAACCCTAGATTACAAAAATATTGGTTATCTCTCCTCTTTTTGGTTTTTTCTCCAATAATAGAAGAATATATATAGGAAAACCAAAACCCTATCTCTAGCCTAACTTCTAATTAGAATAGGATTCAAACTCCTAATCATGATGAGACCCAATCTACTAAACACGATAGATTTCTAACCCTATCTAATTCTCATGAAGTTATACAAAGAATCAAAGACACAATCCCAACACAAATAAATTGCTCCCACCTTGAATTATGTTATTTACTTATTCTCCTAAGATATACTCGAAAGGCATAGGATCCCGTATAAAAGCTAATAATACCAATGAGAAAATGGGTGAGTAGGTTGACATCCTTGTGCATGCGCAAATGGAAATACGGCCAGATAGAGGTAATTGAATGGCACAAGACTGTTAGACCATTGTCATAAAAGCACCACTGAGTGTTGTTGAGTGAAAAACTATCACAGCATCTAAAAACCTTTATAGGATCAACAGGCTTCTGTCTTTCTTCTCCAAGTTGGACACCTTGGACCCCATTCAGTGTTGTGGTTAGTTAAGTTTTTGATAGTAATCACATGTTTCCTTCAAAATTCATAAATAATTTGAACATTTGAGAATTTTTATTACTTGTCGCCTAAAAAGTTTGATTTTACTAATATCTAGAAGGAAGAAAAATCATGACGGAAACGAAAAGAGCAAGCTCTACTATATGCTTTCTATCCCTCTCTATGGATTACAAGACATTAAGGTTTCAAAGTTACAAATGGTTCTCACAATCTATGTCCTCTAGTATCTTATAACATCATATGGGCAAGTGGTTGACATGGAATAGTATAACATCATATGTGGTTGACATGGACTAGTTTATGCATAGCTAAAACTTTACATAACATGAATATATTACTCCGTTAAAATGTCAAATCAAAATTTTATTGAAGTTGAGAATTTATATAGCAAAGTTTTATTTAAAGTTCTATTTTACATGATACGCGGTATCTAGATATTTAAAACAAAACAATTTTGCCAAGTTCAGTTCATGAAGTACAGATAATAACACTTCTGATGTAAATTCTAAGAATGGAAGGCAGTTAAATGGTGGTCAAGAGAAACAAACCTGATAGAGTTGACTGTAGCCATTGAGAACGCTTCAAATTGTTGTGGCTCTCAAAAAACCATAAGTTTGATGCTTCCTGAACAGTCATCTTGCTTCCTTACCTTCATAAACAATCATTCTTAGTGAACTAAATGAACTACTACTTGTGTAATACTGCATCAATTTTGTACATGAAACGTCATCTCCACCAAAAGAGGTTTTAGAGTGGGCATATGGCTGTTATGGAACTTGGGATATGAATATGTCAGTTGAATTACAATGAACGCTAGACCAATCTGCTAATGAAATTGAGTTGGTGCGAATTAAAAGAAACAAAATGGTCTTGGACTAGAAAAATGATTCTGGCAAAGACACAGATGCCTAGTAGGTTGGTTTGAAGTTTAATGCCACATTACCTATCCAAAAATAAAGTGGGCTTTTTCGATATTAGTACCTTAAATCTTCATATTTTCAATTAGTCTCTCAAACCATTGAAACTTCTATTAGGCCACCAATTCTAAGTTATTTTGAAATTAGTCCCTTGAGTCACCAAAACTGTTATTAGGTCCACGATCTCATAAGTTGTTTTAAATTAATCCCTTTAACTGCTACTTGGACTTTTGATTGGAGGGACTCATTTCAAAAAAAATTAAAACTTGAGACTTAATAGCAATTTTATTTGAGAAATTAATTTCAAAATAACTTAAGAATTGCGGACCTGATAGCAATTTCAATGATTTGGGGTCTAATACTAGGAAAAAAAACCCAAGTAGAATAGGTAAATATAATTGGCCCAAAGTATATAAGCTACAAAGAAATACTTTCAACTTCAAATTATTGTCAAAATATCATAATCTAGAATCCATATGCAAGTTATACCTTTCGAGATGCATACAAAAATTTTTGTACGATGACACAAAGTATAACAGCAGGACTTGTGGGTAACATAACCATTCGGAAATTATTTGCCTCGAACTATGGTGATACAGGTATGACCATTCAAATTGGAAAATCACTAGTTTTTAAACTAGACATCGAAATGACCATTCAAATCATAATTTAGAGGCTAGCCTATATCCAACGAGTTTCAAGAAGTGGATGTGAAGTGTAGGATATATGTCCAGAAAATGTATGACAGGCGTTTTAAATTAAAACATGTATTTATAATTGAGTACATGCCAGAATAAATGTGTGCATACATGCAAGGAGTGTCCAAGGTGTTGGTCAAAAGTTACTGCCTTCTTTTTTCTTTTGACAAAAGCAAACAAAGACAAAGGAAGAAAGGGTGGGGGTGCCGCCAAAGTTGAGAAAAGTGCCTGTTGGTTGGTGTGTGTTGACAAAAGAGAGACGTCAGGAAGAAAAAAGGGAACATTGAAGCCTATAAAAGCCCCCCTCTCTTCCTCTGGTGAATGCACTCCAAAAATCACAGAAAAGAGCATAAGCTTAGAGAGTGATTAAGAGAGAAGAAAGAAAACTCTGTGAGTGAAAAAAATCCAAGAGAGAAAATTGAGAGCAATTTTCAGAGTGAAGAGGGTTGTGAGTTTGAGTGTGAAAAACACTTGTAATATTTCTCCCAAATAGTGAAAGATCTGCAGCAGCCCGTGGACGTAGGCAAATTTGTGCCGAACCACGTAAATCTTGCGTGTCCACTTTTTGCGCATTTATTTTCGCTTTCTCTCAAATCTGACAATAGGGGAATCCGGGTAGTTTCCCAACAACTGGTATCAGAGCTCTGGTTGTGACGTCTGTCAAATTTCTGCAATGTTACTATTCACGTGAATAGTAAATTTCGTGAATAGTGGAATTTTGCCGGCGGTACTGAGTTGTCGGCAGAGGTATCTTAATACAAGGTGGTTCACAAAAATTGTCAGAAACGATCCAGAGGAAGTTAGATTCGAGTGGGAGCGATGGCTGCACGAAGGGAAGGTAAAAATTGAGAAGTTCGATGGTGCGGACTTCGGCTTTTGGAAGATGCAGATCGAAGACTATCTGTACCAGAAGAAGCTGTATCAACCTCTCTCGTGAAAGAAGCCAGATGATATGAAGGATGAAGAGTGGGCTCTCCTCGACAGACAAGCCCTTGGAGTTATCCGATTGACGCTATCCCGAAACGTTGCCTTCAACATAGCAAAGGAAAAGACCACGGCGGGTCTTATGGCGGCTCTCTGCAGCATGTACGAGAAGCCCTCTGCCTCAAACAAAGTTCACTTGATGAGGCGGCTGTTCAATTTGCGAATGACGGAAGGCGCATCGACAGCTCAACATCTCAATGAACTCAACATAGTCACAACCCAGTTGAGTTCAGTTGGGATTGAATTTGATGAAGAAGTACGAGCATTGATACTTCTTTCTTCTCTACCAGAAAGCTGGAACGCTACAGTCACGGCTGTGAGTAGCTCATCGGGAAGCAACAAGTTGAAGTTCGATGATGTTCGTGATCTGGTTCTTAGTGAAGAGATCCGACGGAGAGAATCGGGTGAAGCTTCAACCTCCTCAGCTTTACACACGGAGTCTAGGGGAAGAACTTCAGAAAGAAGTTCAAATCACGGCAGATCAAAATCTAGAAGGAGCAAATCTAGATCAGGAAAGAAAGACTTCAAGTGCTACAATTGTGGCAAGAAGGGTCATTTCAAGAGGGAGTGTCGGGCACCGAAGAAAAACACCGGCGCACAGGAGTCTGCCAACGTGACCGAGGAAGGAGGTGATGCTATGATTCTAAGCGTCAACAGTCCGATTGAATCATGGATTCTTGATTCAGGGGCATCTTTTCATTCCACCCCATGCCGAGAAATCATGGAGAACTACGTCAGCGGTGATTTCGGAAAGGTACATCTAGCAGATGATGAAACCTTGAAGATTGTTGGCAAGGGAGACTGTCAAAAGGGAAGCTACCGGATCTGAAGAATGTAGATGTCGGCCTATGCGAGGATTGCATCTTTGGCAAACAGAAGAAAGTCAGTTTTGCAAAGATTGGCAAGACACCCAAGACAGAAAGGTTAGAATTGATTCATACCGACGTATGGGGACCATCTCCAGTTACATCTCTTGCAGGCTCACTGTACTATGTCACCTTCATTGATGATTCTACAAGGAAGGTGTGTGTCTATTTTCTAAAGAAGAAATCAGAAGTCTTTGATACCTTCAGAAAATGGAAGGCCATGGTGGAAAATGAAACTGGTTTGAAGATAAAGAAGTTGAGGTCAGACAATGGAGGAGAGTACAAAGACAGTAGATTCAAAGAGTTTTGCGCAAACAGCGGGATCAAGATGGAGAAAACAGTTCCCATGACACCGCAGCAGAATGGCGTAGCGGAGCGCATGAACAGAACTTTGAATGAACGTGCCCCTAGGGGCTGAAGCTATCAATACCGCAGCCTACCTAATCAACCGTGGACCCTCAGTTCCTTTGGATGGTGGAATACCGGAAGAAGCTTGGAGCAGAAAAGAGGTAAACCTTTCACATTTAAGAATTTTTGGTTGTATCTCTTATGTACACATAGATTCTGCTGAAAGAAGTAAACTTGATGCCAAATCTAACAAATGTGTTTTTGTTGGTTATGGTGGTGATAAGTTTGGATACCGGTTTTAGGATTATGAAAATCAGAAGATCATCAGAAGCAGAGATGTCATATTCAATGAGAATGTGATGTACAAAGACAGATCAACTGCAGAATCTAGTAGCTCCAGTACAAAAGCTGAAACAAAGGAATTTGCTGAATTTGAGGAGATTTCTGAAAAAGATGTTCAGACTAGCCCTGAAGCATTTCAAGAAGAACCAAGCACGCCAGAAGTGAGACGCTCCTCCAGAATTCCTAAGCCAACCCAGCGTTATTCGCCTTCTTTGCACTACCTGTTGCTGACTGACAGTGGTGAACCGGAGTGTTATGACGAAGCAATACAGGTGAAGGATTCAGTCAAGTGGGAGTCTGCTATGCAAGATGAGATGGACTCACTCATGTCAAATCAGACATGGGACTTAGCTGAATTACCACAAGGTAAGAAAGCTCTTCATAACAAATGGATATACAGGATCAAAGAAGAGCATGATGGGAACAAGCGCTACAAGGCAAGATTGGTTGTCAAAGGCTTTCAGCAAAAGGAAGGTATCGACTACAATGAAATTTTTTCTCCGGTTGTGAAACTAACTACAATCAGATTAGTGTTGAAAATTGTAGCTGCTGAGAATTTACATCTTGAGCAGTTAGATGTAAAAACAGCTTTCCTTCATGGTGATTTGGAGGAGGAGATCTATATGAAGCAACCAGAAGGCTTCATGAAGGCAGGCAAGGAAAATCTAGTATGCAGGTTGAAAAAGAGCTTGTATGGATTGAAACAAGCTCCCAGACAGTGGTACAAGAAGTTTGACAACTTCATGGGCAGCAACGGTTTCACTAGATGCCAAGCAGATCATTGTTGCTATATCAAGAGGTTTGACAATAGCTTCATTATTTTATTGTTATACGTTGATGACATGCTCGTTGCAGGATCAGATCTGCAAGAGATTATAAATTTGAAGCAAAAATTGTCAAAGCAGTTCGCGATGAAAGATCTTGGTGCTGCAAAACAGATTCTTGGAATGAGGATCAAGAGAGACACGAAGTCTAGAATCTTGATGTTATCACAGCGTGCACACATGGCGAAGGTCCCGTACGCCTCAGCAATTGGAAGTCTGATGTATGCCATGGTCTGTACAAGACCGGATATTGCTCAAGCAGTGGGAGCTGTTAGCAGGTACATGAATGATCCAGGCAAGGTACACTGGGAAGCAGTCAAGTGGATCCTCAGATATCTACGAGGCACTACAGGTAAAGCACTTTGTTTCAAAAGTGAAGATACAATACTAACAGGCTATGTAGATGTTGATCTAGCAGGAAATGTTGATATCAGAAAGAGCACTACAGGGTATGTATATACTCTAGGAGGTACTGCAGTGAGTTGGGCTTCTCAACTGCAGAAGATCAGGAAATGTTGATATCAGAAAGAACACTACAGGGTATGTATATACTCTAGGAGGTACTGCAGTGAGTTGGGCTTCTCAACTGCAGAAGATAGTTGCTCTCTCCACAACTGAAGCAGAATATGTCGCTGTTACAGAAGCCAGCAAGGAAATGGTGTGGCTTCAAAATTTCTTGGATGAATTAGGCAAGAAACAAGAAGACAATGTCTTATACTGCGACAGTCAAAGTGCTATTCATCTAGCGAAGAATCCGTCTTTCCATTCCAGAACGAAGCACATACAGATGCGGTATCATTTTATCCGGTCACTTCTGGAAGATGGAATTTTAAAGCTTGAAAAGATCAGTGGAGCTCAAAATCCGGCAGACATGCTGACAAAGACGGTGACTATTGACAAACTGAAGCTGTGTTCAGCTTCAGTTGGACTGCAATAGTATGAAGACGGGAAGAGCTGCTGCATAGATCGAGATGTGAAGACAGATTGAAATCAGTCTTCAAGTGGGAGATTGTTGGTCAAAAGTTACTGCCTTCTTTTTTCTTTTGACAAAAGCAAACAAAGACAAAGGAAGAAAGGGTGGGGGTGCCGCCAAAGTTGAGAAAAGTGCCTGTTGGTTGGTGTGTGTTGACAAAAGAGAGACGTCAGGAAGAAAAAAGGGAACATTGAAGCCTATAAAAGCCCCCCTCTCTTCCTCTGGTGAATGCACTCCAAAAATCACAGAAAAGAGCATAAGCTTAGAGAGTGATTAAGAGAGAAGAAAGAAAACTCTGTGAGTGAAAAAAATCCAAGAGAGAAAATTGAGAGCAATTTTCAGAGTGAAGAGGGTTGTGAGTTTGAGTGTGAAAAACACTTGTAATATTTCTCCCAAATAGTGAAAGATCTGCAGCAGCCCGTGGACGTAGGCAAATTTGTGCCGAACCACGTAAATCTTGCGTGTCCATTTTTTGCGCATTTATTTTCGCTTTCTCTCAAATCTGACAATAGGGGAATCCGGGTAGTTTCCCAACACAAGGAGTTTGGGTATTGGGTATGAGTATGGGTATCAATACGTGTCAGGTGCAGGTACACCTTCAGATTAGAAGTATCCAGGTAACATAGGTCTGAAATGACACTTTAAGAGATGGAGAATTTTACAACAGCTGTTTATATTGCTCTTGTTAATTAATTGTCAGTGTCACCCATAAACAGAATTTAAGAGTGTCATATGATGTTACCAATAATCCAGCCACTTATAATCTACTGAGAGTATATTTCTACTTTTGCCTCTATCAATCAAATCATTGCCTGTTTGGCTTTCAAATTACTAAACTCTAGTTATACTGAAGTTGGAGTCACAGTTATACATTTTAGTTTGCAGTATGTATTTTTTTAACTTCTCTTTTCTACTGCACTTTTTGAAGTTAACAACAATACCTTTTGACTAGATATTTATGAACTACATCTAAATCAAACTTTTCGATATAACCATAGTTTAACTAGACTAAAAACAATGATTAAATAGATCTTTAAATTTTTTTTTTTTGAGTTAAATTACTTTATTACAGAAAACTACAGATGAGAAAATTTTAACTCCAAAACTACGCATGCCCTATAACATTTTCTACAGTCAAACAAATTTGTACCTATGAACAGAAAAGGAGAAGACTTTAAACAATAACATGGAACTAGAAATCATAGAAAAACCCATTACAAAACATTATTATAGAGTAAAACAAAGATTTTACCAAAAAGCAAACGATCAGTAACTTCCCAAATAATTGGCTTGAGGTTCCTTTCTCCCAAGGAAATACCAAGTACTACAAATTTTGTTGTTTAAAAACCAACTTTTCACCCAACCAAAAACTCAAAAAAACATGAGGAACAGGCCAATCCTCCAAATACAAAACTAGATGTCACATTATTTTTGTTTCCCAACCAGCATCAGAGTCTTGTGGTTTCTACTCTACTCCGCTCTTTTCTCTCTGTCCTCTATTATTCCTTTTTTTTTCCATTGATATGAAGACACAATCAAGCTTATTTTTAGAAACTTCAAATAGCTTTTCAACTATACCGCTGAAAAATCAAATCTCAAATACCCAAACAGACCAAAATGAATTCCTAAATGATCCGTATCCCAAACATTAATTCTTTCAATCTCTCATTCTACTTCTTGTTCATAATATTATCCCCATAAAAGTTCACATCTTTATAAAACTTTGTTGCCACAAATAATCAGAAAACAAGGACATGAACTCTCCATCTACGCCTGAAGTGGAAAAAAATGAAGCTGCAAGTTTTCCAGCTCCCAAAAAAGATCTCAATCTTTGGGAGACATTTCAACGTATGTCGCTCTAAGCTATCAGATATCAAGGACAGGAACCTTTCATCTACGTACACTTTTAAGCTAGAAAAAGAAAACATGGAGCCCCAAGGTTTCCTATTCCATTGATCACATAACGAAAGAACATTCAGATAATTCTCTCCCAAAAACAAGAAAATGGCTTTAAAAATATGCTAAAAATATTCAAGCCCATGAGAGAAAATTGGCAGAAAACTAACTAAGACAGGAACTTTTCATCTATAACGTAAAAATGAAACCCCTAAAGTTTCCTACTCGATTGATCACACAACAATATAAGCTCAAATGATATCAACCCATGAAAGTAAAAAAAAGGGCAGAAAAATTACCAGGTGAAGATTTCTCCTTCTGCTTCTCCTCCTCCCCCTCTTGCTCTTTTTGAATTGGTGATAAAAGAAGAGCAAGCACTGAGTTTTGTAGTTAGCGTTTGGTGTCAGTGGAGCTCTAATGGCAATGGGTCAAGGACGCGAAGAACCCGAGGCACTTAGCTTTATTACTTCTCTCACTCTCTCTCTCTCTCTCTCGAATGAATGAATGAGTGAGGAAATCTTTTTGCTGCTGCAATTTATTATTTCTGTTTTTATTCCTTTCCAACTTCTAGGACACCCAAAAATCAGGGCAAAGGGCAGGGGTTCTTATTTCAAACTTTTACTTTTGACCCTCTTTCAGAAATTATTCACGAGTTTGCCCCTAGTGGGCTTTCATCACGCTATAGGTTTATTACGAAAGAAAAATGTTGCATTCGAGTTCATTACCGTACGTCTGATTTGAAATCTCAATCTTGAATTACAAAATCTTCTTTGAAGAGCTTTTTATAGAAAAGGCGTGTTTAAAAATAATAATAATAATGATGATAGATGCACACCCTCTATCACATTTTCAACCATACCACCTCTCTGGTTATAGTGCACGAAGCCCACATTTTCAACCATACCTCCTCCCCACGTTACTGAATAGAGGAATGCTTATTATTTCTAGCCAAGCGGGCAATAACGAGGAGCCATGTTACTGAATCAATGGCTTGATTTGCTTATATGTTATGTAGATATGCTACTTCACCAAGGTAAATATTTGGTGGGATGTATCTAAAATCCAAGTTCATGGATGAATGGATGATGATATTTTGAGTCATTTGTCATGGGAATTGAAATGTTTATGGTTATCTAAATATGATATGCTTCATTAGTTGTAGTTGGATTTTAAAAAATTAGATGAGATCAGTTTCACATGGTACAAAAAATAACTCTTAAATTGGTCAAACCGAACCACCATTGTCTTGATTTTTCATAACGTGGTTAAGGTAAACTGAACAAAGATCAGTCTTGCCTAGTTTTTGAGTGATTGTCATGAAAGTCCAATTATTATTCGCAAAAATAGGTAACAATACTATCTGTATTGAGATTTTGGAAACAAAAGTTCACATGTTTATGATGGGAAATGATTATCATGTTAGAACTTATTTTTGTGCTTTCAATTCTAATAGCCAAATGAGCTTAAAGTGAATGTTTTTGTTTATTCTTTAAACAAAATTCCATAAATTATGATTGAGGACGAGACTACTATCTTGTGATGTCTTTCTCATCGCAATTTAATAACTTCATAAAATAGATGCGATAAGCTAGTGAAATCTCCGTGCTTGATAAAACTAGAGATAATCTTGACCCAATGCAGATTAGAGTTGATTCCCTAACATCTGAGCATATTGAGGGTGGAAAGGAACCGTGGGCGATCTAGAATTTTTTTTTATAACGGGGCGAACAACAAACATCTATTTACCTAAAAATAAAAACATAAGTATTTATTATATAACTATCGGTAAAACTCAAGTGGAATGTGCTATCTAATGCAATTAAGTGGGCCAATTTTGACTACTATTTATTGGTCATGTAAGCTAATACTGAGCTGTAGGGGTGCAAATCTTACAAAGCACGGGTGCATAATAATACAATTATGAAATATTCAGTTGAATTGTAGGCTAGAATACAGATCTGCTTCTAAAAGCAAATATCTTTTCCCATGTATGCAGGGCATACTAGAAACGTCGATCACTTGTGCACCACTTTTTCAATTAAATTTCCAAGTTTAATAAATATCGGGAGAAATAGAGTTCCTATTTCCTAAATTAGATGTTGTAAGAGAAAAATGCAATGTAAGAAATGAAGAAACTAATTGTTGAGAATTCTAAAAAACTTGACCAAGCTCCTGTCTTCTTCCGCAGGATGTTTTCGATTTACATTGGTTTGTGGAAATAGTCTAAACTTTTCTTTTAATAAAATTTTTTTAATAATGATCCCAATTGCTTAGTAAGGGTTAATTCTATATAATAAAGAAAATCCATTTCCACCCAGGAAAAAAATTGCTTTGGATCCACATTTGGATAGCACATTGTGATGGTTTTTTTCCTCTTGAGTAGATTTTGCAGAAGAGACACCTGGTGGTCGACAAGATATAAATGATAAAATCTTACCTAAAATATGAGTAGATTTTAAAGTAAGTGATGAGATGTCTTAAAATAAGGGAATCGGATTCTGGATTCATTGAGATAAATGCATCAATCTAAACATTAAAATGCTCCTCTGAAATCACTCGTATCAATCTGAAGTGGTTAAAATTTTATTATGTATCGCTCATCGGGAAAAGAAATTTATGGCAACACGCGCAATTAGGCCAGTTGGCAGAAGATTATAAAGGGGCAAATCCAAGGGCACGAGCGTGAAAAGCTAGCAAAATATTTTCCATGCAACGGTCGAGGGGAGCGTTTCGGGCTGGGGCCCACGCAATAGTCACTCGTGGCCCCCCACAAGGCTCACTCGCTGGTCGCATCCCATGCATCCATGAGCTCAAATTCGATGGCCTTTTTGTATTCTTCTGCCCCCCTCACTCTCTGCGGCAACGGCTACTTCTTATTTTTATTTCCTTTGTTTAAGGATCCTGTTCATTCCATGCATATTGCTCCAGACCACTTTAGGTACTTAATTCTTTCAACCTCAACATGTGTGTGAATGGATGAATATTCTTTCGTTAGTCTTAGCTTATTATTTACTTGAGATTTAAGATAAAATATTAATGCAGAAGTATTATTGTTAAAAGGCCTAGATTCTAATCATTTCAAAATCTTTATTATCGAACCTCTCAAGGTAGTGGTGGAGCTAGGGCTGTCCATTCGGACCGGCACGACCTGACTCGGCCCGGTTTTCCGGGCCTGGGCCGGGCAAAACCGAAGCCCGGACCCGAGCCTAGTTAG